CAATATCTCTCCAAGTAGATGTATGACGATTTCATACACGCCCTCCTATATAACCTAGGCGAGTTGAATCTTTTATAAAAATATATATAATACGTTTTTTCTAAGAGCATCCAGCACTATGTAAGTAGTTGAAAGTTCAGTTCACTCTAAAGTCTCTTACACCTCGAGGAAGAAACTCGATGCAAATATTTACAATAAAGTATTATAGCCGCCTTCGCCAATATTTAGAGAGTGGCGAAACGAATGAGCAGTTGGTATAAAGCATTCACAACAGTAAAACTTGTCTTATATCTGCATAGGCATCATAGAGAGAAGATCTTTAGAGATTCTGACCATTTTAACCATACTTTCTTCCATTGGACTCAGGTTTGAACTTTGTTGTTGCTTTCACAAACAAATTTTCTAACAAGAGAGCGGAGCTCAAACTTAGCAAGCAGGGAAATGGCGAATCGAAGGCAGCTTATGTATATTATCTCCATTTTCTCACAAAACGGATTCTGTCGCAGTCGTTAAAAATGCATTTTTAGAACTATCTTCGAACTCCCCAAATAAATAAAAAAAAACCGATAATAGGGAGGGTATCAATGCTCAAAGTATTGTGGCGCATGCAACAGGTCTTATGGCGCCATCAATTCTGCCGTACTCAAGCCAGCCAAAGCAACGAAACCAAATCAACAGCCATTGCATTGTCATAAATATGCCAATATTATCAGTGTCGAATGACAATATTAATTGTTTGTTTACTTTCAAACATAATCATCAAATTGGGCACTAAAATGCAGCTACTCATGCGCATACGAACATATAGGCGCATGTTAGAGTGAAGATAAGCAATGCAGACCATACTTAACTGCACTAAGGCACTTCATAAACATTAATAGATGGGTAGTTTTTTTTTTAAAGTGGGCAGCAAGTACCAGGTATGTATGTATGTATATTATATACGTGTGTATGTATTTATTTTTACTGATAAATATTTTCCATTTATTTATTAGTTAAATTGTAATAAAATCCGAGTAAATATTTACATACTTTGCTATGCAACCGAAAATTCATAAAAATTTATCAAAAATAACATAAAATTATTGTAATAAACAGTTAAAGCGTCAGCTACTGATTTTCGAGTGATGATAGTATCTGTCGAGAAAATCTAAGAGGTTGCATATTACATGCATACATAATACATGGTATATACATATGTAGGTAAAGGCGGGTCAATTTGTATGGGAGATTTTTTCTACTACATGTGCGCGTAGGATTCTACGTGTAATTTTAAGAAAATTTGTCGAAGAAACCATGTGTCGGAAATAAATTTGGAGTTTGAGAAATTACGAAAATAGGTTTGTTAGTATTTTTCCGTACTGTCTTAGAGAAGTGAAAAGAATCCATTTCTGCACTTATATATTTCTTAAAACTTGCACCAGAGGGCGCAACAATGCAAATTTTCTTCGAAACTTATTTTCGTAATTTGGCAAACCCCAAATTGATTTAAGACCCATGGTTTCTTCGGCAAATTTGCTTTGAATTACGCGTAGAATCCTCCGATGCTATACGCGCGTAGTCAATAAAAAAGTGACCCGCCCTAATCTAGGTACTGTATACTTAAGCTGGTACTAGGCTTCAAAATTTCAAAATTTCACTAGCGTGACTTGAGCGGGTGCTCGTACGCATGGACAGCAGGAGCACTGTTTTATTTGATGTTGACTTTTCTTTTCTAATATTTTACTACAACCCATCTTTGATAACAAATATGTAATGCAACTACATATTATATGTAAGCATATCTGTATGTACATATGCACAAGTGCTTGTGATATGGTCTTTTTCCTTTTCGAAGTTTTCACTTTCATTTTGATTTTCGTTTGATTTCATTTTCCACATTTTTCTTGTACAAACAATATCTAAAAAAATGTTTGCATTTCTCTACGATTATATTTTTTTTTCTTTCGTTGCCTTTAGTTGGCTGTTGGTTTTTTTAATATCATTTGACTTTTTTTTGCTTTTTCCCAACACTTTGTTTACACACTGACGCCACTGTGGCGGCTACTGGTCGTCAAGATTTATGAGGGCGTGCATTGGGCCGAGCGAGCGCTGCTGATGGAGGCCCCCCCCAAAAAAAAAACATCAAAAAACTGAATTGCACTGGTGGCGGCGGCGGGTGTTGCATTGCCTGCATTTTTCCTCCCTTTTGCCACTGCGCCACCAGCATTTTATTTAGGACATTTTGAAGTGGCTGCTCAAACAGCGAACTTGAATTGAAATAGAAACACATAGTTAAAATTTACTTGGCGTTTAGTTTACAACTTGCAACAACACTACACCACATTCAAGTGCTTAGCTGGCATTGTGGCTAACTGAACTTTATTGTTTGGTTTATTATTAGGGAGGAAAAAAAAAACGTATTTGTCTGTCTAAAATAGTGCTGCCTAAAAGCACACAAAATGTTGCCCACTACATACATACATACATACATACGTATTTGCTTAAACAACTGAGTGAAGTGTTTGATAGATGCACATGTGTGTGCATGCGTTTTGTACGTATGCTTATTAAAATGTCAGTTGCGCATAAAGGTGCTGACAGTTGGACATACCGTACGCATGATTGATCTGTTTCACTGTCAATTGCTTTTTTATTGCATATGGATTCACATACATTCATACATCGATGTTTGCACATGGAACATGCATACATACATATGTATATGTGGCAGTAATGTGAAGTGTTTGGCACTGCATTAACGGTGCTTAGATAAGTTGAAAGCTGTCAAATAAGCGCTTAGTTAAGATTATAATTTTAGTTTACTTAGACGCATAAAAGCAAAGGGTTAGGCTACACATGCATACAAAAGTATCTACTAAATTTGTGCATAGGTTTCCATAATTCTAGGGAATTATATTGTTTGAAATAATTTTTGTGCTATTTCTGCTCGATGAAATATGGTTTTCGTTACCTCATTAGCGACTTCAGAAAGCTGCCAAATACTATTTGGCTATGCTTCACAAATTTAGTTGTAAAATTCTTAGAACAGCAGAATATCTTCTTGGATTCTGAGAATTCATACATTTTAATTGTGAGAAATTTTAAGTGTTAAAAAAATTTTTGTATAATAATACATATTTTGGCGCTTACACTTTTACTAGCTTCTCCTCCAATTTGTGGCGTGCGTGTTGATTTTGTTACATAAATTGGGGCACCTACAGTTTTAACATCGTCGGAACGAGATTTTATGAGAATATTTTTCATGACTGAATTACACTTCGAGGTTTGCCATTGCGATTCAAGGAGCCGAAATCTGCTCGTAGGCAATGCAGGAAAGAAAATATCAAGAACTATCTCTTGTCTTCATAGTTTTTGCAACTTCTGCAACATCTGCCAGCCAGGTACCCAGAGAGTAGTCTAATTGCATTTCTATTTAATAAAATAATTCCTTATTGTCGAAAGATTAGCCGAAGAGCCTGGCCTGTATTTGGCCCCCAATCGCTCGCCAGTAATTAGTGAGTTCAGAGTGGACAGAGGACAGTGTTACCGTTTGGCTTGTCAAATCTGTCCTTAACAGGCTGATATTTAATGATCCTGTTTGAAAGCGGCCGAATTGCTGCTTGGCTATGTGAAAAGGCAACTAAAGAGAACCCTCTGCAAGTTGGAATATAGTACTTTGATAACCTTAATAAATCTTGATGAAAAAATACTATGAGCGAGGTGTGTTGGGTTTGCTTGCTTTAACCTTCTTTTGCATGAATTATGAAGGAGATGAATAAAAAAAATTTTACTACGAAAAACACATTATTTACTTATTAATAAACCTATGTGGAAAGAAAAAGCTACTCCAAGTCCTTTATTTTAAATTTTATTTCGCAAAGAAGTATATAGAAAATTTTATGAAATAAAGTACATATAAATAAATTGGGTAGCGTAGCGGTAGATGTGTGAATTAAGAAAATTTTTTTCATTTTAGAAGTACAACTTGCGTTTCTAATTAACACAGAAATGAGGTTATATTTAAATGTCATCTAACCACAGGCAAACCAATTACGTTCTGTTATTCCTTAGTTAACATACCAATGAATTTAATTTGTTTGATACATTTTTATAACTCTCGTTAAGTGGCAAAAAAATGTCAAAGTAGTGACACCATATTTGGCTTCGTATGCGGTAGAGGGTTAATATTATGCAGTTTTATGAAAATTTATTTTCTAGATATGGATTCTTTAAATTATTTGGTTTTTATTATTTTAATGCGTTTTTCTTAGAGAGTTAAATAAATAGTTAGTTAAATAAGAAAACACACTGACTTCATTAATTTTTTCGCGAAAGAGACAGCGAAATATTTAGAGTCATATGTCTCTCAGACTTTGGTTATCAAATCAGGGGTAAGATAAAACCCATTATGGGAGTTGAAAATTTGCTACCAGTTCCACAAGTACCTGCACAGTGATACCTTTGTCAAGTTTGGTTTGGAGACAAACCGGTTTCGGCGTTATGCCTTCTTTAGTGTCGTTATTCGGCCATTTGGAAGTGGTACAATAGAGCAATGGCAGTGAGTCTTTCGAAAGTTTGTTGTCCAATGAAGCGACACACAATTGTTGGTATTGAGACCTAGGCGAGACCCGCCTAGCCCCAATGGAGTTGTCGGCGGTGCTTTTCGAATAACCCTGCAAGATTAGAATGGCCACGAGACAGTACGCCTTGCAGCTGGTGGTCACTTCTATAAACTTGACCAAGCTGTGAAGGACGGCAATTTTGTCAACCATGCTGATCATTATTCACCATTCGACTGTCAATCGGGTATAGCCATCAGCTCTGGCCTTCATACGGTTCCTTGATGTTGACAATATTTTGAAGAGAAAACTGAAAATATTAATGCTGATTTTATTTATGTAATATGCGAACGATATTGTAATATTATATTCATTTATGAAACTTGTTTCCTGTTTGTCTCAAATAAACTCATATTTTAACGTAAAAATATTATTTTTTTAATTTGTCATTTATTCCAGCATCCCTACCCCTCCGAGGATCAGAAAAAACAGTTGGCGCAAGATACCGGCCTAACGATACTGCAAGTGAACAATTGGTAAGTAATTAATTTTGTATGTAAGTACAATGTATTTGCTTTTGAACAGTATGTATGTAAGACCGGTGCAGCCAACTGAACTAAATAAAAAAAAAATATGACGAAATTTCCATAAAAAATTACAAGGCCGATTTCTTATTAATTTCGAGTATTTAATATTGGCCAGATGTATATAAATTTTTAAGCGCGCTTTTAAAAGCTGACCAACTGTACACTAAACTCTCCAAGGCAAAACTCACCATGTTCGTTATTAGTGTGTAAAACAAAGAAAAGCTAAAACAGCTAGGAAATTCTTGAAAATATTAAAAGTTTCGAAACTTTAACTGAAATGCTAAAAGTTGTATGAAACTTGTGCGAGCTTAATTTAAAGCTCACCTAAAATTTGTGGCATACTTATAAAATATATGTATTCACCAATTTTATTTAACTGTAAAAAAATATGAATTACATCTTTGCAATCATTTAATACACAAATGAACCTCCGTCAGTCCGTCTTTCACCAACGCAACTAAATTAAAAATGCAAATGCGGAATTTTTCTTCTAAATTTCTTATCACCCGAAATATGTCAACTAAAATAGCGAAAATTCATTTGCGCTGCTATTACAACCAATCAGTGGAAAAGTTTTGCATTTTTCCACAAAAGTTTTGTTTGTTTTTGTTTTTTTCCTCCCATACTTTAGAAAGAAAACAAAGAAATTAAGAAAATACGCTTAACAAAGAGAAAAAAATAGAGCACACCAAGCAAACATTTCCAGCAAATTAAAAGAGAGATGGAAATTCTAGTGCACAACGCAGTAGCTGGTATTTTCCTTTAAGAAACTTTTTCGATTATAATTCTTGTGACCAACGCGTACGTATAGACATACATAAATACATGCCTTCATCAATATCTATGTATGTATGTATATATGTACCTACATATTGTGATTGACTCGGTGTTTCCAAACCGGTTTCAATAGCTTTTTTTTTATTATTTCTAGGCGGTTTTTGAAATCTTAATTTTTCGAATACCGAGTAAACCGGATTTTTACAATCGGAAAATCGGTTTCTTTACCTAGTTTGGTTATATAGCAGAATCTAAAATTTCGAAATACTTTTTTTTATCTCAAATGGAAGCAAACAATTTTTATTCATTTTAAATTTTGAATACTGGACAATTTTCTATTACAGAAAATTATTTAAAAAATTAGAAAAAATTAAAAAAAATGTTCACAGTTTTTTTTTTTGTTGTAGGAATTAACTAAACTCTGTCTAAATCAATGAATCCACTACATTTTGACTTTATTCGCATCTTATTCAACTTAACCGTTTAACCTGTCATTCTAGAGAAAATATGTCAAATAAACCCGGTTTTTGCGGTTGTTTCTTAATTTGAAAATCGGGAACCCGCTTTTTGAAGTTGACAAATAATCGAACACCCTAGTACATATATACTAAAGTATTCAATTGTATCAAACCCACTCATGCATTAATGCCGCAGATGGCCACAAATCGCCAATTTTCGCTTTTCAAAAGTATTTCGTGCACTTATTGCTATTGCTTGCATATACTATATTTTTTTGTTTCGAAAGAATCAAGTAAATTGTATAAGAAAATTCCACAAAAGTTTCAGTTGATGGGCAAGAAAAATAAACATGAATAATACGCTCCTACATACATACTTACACTTGCGCAAGCAGGCAGAGCAAGGATATTAGTGGCAGCAGGCGAGACGGCGCACATTGAAAGCGGAAATGTTGTAGTTCCATTTTATTTTTAATGGGCTGAGTGGGGCGCGTGGAGTTTAGCACAAACTTGCCTGCAAGTAGAGTAAGCACCACCATCTTCAGATTAAGCGCCCTCATATTGGGTGCTAATGGCCGTTAGTTGGTCATTTAAATGGCTGCATCGACCCCGCCCATCGCTTTAGGCTACAGCCAGCCAATGTAGTAAGCTTCATATCATACTTACTACTACATACATACATACATACGTATGTACTCCCACTTGATTCTATACACACCCACTCTACCTGCGTGGCTAGCCACCTTCTCGACGCCATTTAGGCTTTTATTTGTTTTTAGTTAATTCCATGCCATTCCAAGTTAGCCTCATCTTCCCAAGCCGTACGCCCGTCCGCCCGTCCGCCCGTCCGCCCGCGCTTGCCTTTGCTACTGTTGTTCGCTTTTTCGAGCGTGTAAATATAAATTCAGCTAAAATAGGTAGAAAAAAGTTAACGCGCATCGCTGCCACACTCCATTCCTACCACTCAGTTGGGTGCTTCAACGAAGCGGCAAAGCGTCAAACCCACTTTTTAGCCTATAAATATGCTATGCTTGCACCGCCTGTGAAATTCCCAGCGGATTTCAGCATCCGCCAGTCGATTTTGGGTGTTCTATACACATTTTTTTCTTTCTTACTTTTTTTTTAGTGAACTTTTGTTGCTATTGTAGTCGTAGCTTTCGTTTTTATTTTTTTGTTGTCTTGCGACAAGCAAATCGCCAAGGTGTCAGGCAATAAATTACCAAAAGTGTCTACCTTCTGTTTTGTATTTCATTTGTTGTTTCTTGTTGTTGTTGGTTTTTGTTAAGTTCCCTATGCAGTTTGTGCGAAGCATGCAGGGGCGTTTTCTACTTATTGACTATGCTGCTAGATAGACAGCTTTCCTCCTACTTCTTCCACAGTACGCTTGGTTTGTTATGAGGTGTTAGTGGGCAAAACGCACACCACATTTCTTTACGCTTTCTTGCATTTTTGCTACTAAGTGTGGCGTAAATTTGTTTGCGTTCTAAGGCTGAGTATCGAAATTTCCAGCAACAACTAAGCCAGCAACAAAACGCGTCTAAATACTTTCATTTCTGTTTCGTCTGTGGCTCGTTGTTGGTTTTTATATTCTTTAGTTATATATTCCGGGTTTCTTTCCGATATTTGGTTATATTAGTGCGCTCGAGTAAGCGAAAAATTTAATTTAATTGCTCTGGAACATGCCCCTTTTGGAAGGATAGATTGTTGTCGTTAAGCCCTGGCTGACGCATGTGCGAGTATTTTTCCATTTCTACTTTTTTTCTGAATAGTTTGAATAAACGGGTTTTAAATGAATTTTATGTCCCACTTGGTGCGAATGCATCGAGTTCTACAGGCTGATGTGAC